TCAAGCGAGCCTCCTGCCTCAGCCTCCCGGGTAGCTGGGACTACAGGCATGCACCACCATGCCCGGCTAATTTTTTCTAGTTTTAGTTGTTTGGCTAATTTCTTTCTATTTTTAGTAGATGGGGTCTCACTCTTGCTCAAGCTGGTCTCGAACTCCTGAGCTCAAGCAATCCTCCCGCCTCGGCCTCCCAGAGTGCTAGGATTACAGGCATGAGCCACCACGCCCAGCCTGTTTGTTTGTTTTCTGAGACAGAGTCTTGCTCTGTTGCCCTGGCTAGAGTGCAGTGGTGTCATCACAGATCACCGCAACCTCAAACTCCTAGGTTCAAGCAATTCTTCTGCCTCTGCCTCCCAAGTAGCTGGGACTACAGGCACACGCCACTACGCCCAGCTAATTTTTTCTATTTTTTGTAGAGACAGGGTCTTACTCTTGCTCAGGATGGTCTTGAACTCCTGGCCTCAAGCAATCCTCTCATCTCAGCCTCCCAGAGTGCTAGAATTATAGGTGTGAGCCACCAAGCCCCACCATAATTCATTAAGCTTTGAATTGTGCACCACTCTGAGTAGTGCAATGAAATCTCATGCTGTCCCACTTTGTCCTGTCAAGGATGTCCATGCTGTATACGCTATCTGCTCATTAATCGCTTAGGCATCTTGGTAATCAGATAGAAAAAACACAATATACATTGGGTTTGGTGGTATCTGTAGTTTCACACATCCATTGGGGGGTCTTGGAACATATCACCCATGCATAAGGAGAGACTAGTGTATTCTAAAAATATGTTAGTATGTCACAAAATGTTGTTAAAGTACATACAGATTTTTGAAATGCTTTATGGGTACACTTGGAATGTACAATAAAAAGAAGGGAGAATGGAAAAACAAACACCACTTGTACTTGCTATTAAATTAGAACTAACTGATGAGCACACATGTGCACAGAGGGAAATAAAACTCAGTGGAAATCAAGCAGGGGGAAGGGAGGAGGAGGGGATGGGCAAAAAACTACCTAATGAGTATAATGAACACTATCTGGGTAACGGGCACACTTATAACCCTGGCTCAAGCATAACAAAATCAATACATGTAACCAAAAACATCTGTTCCCCTGTAACATTAATATTTTGAAATTAAAGAAAGGAAATATTTCCCCCATTCATAGCAAACAAGACTCTCAAACAGGAACACATGTAAGAAAAGCTATCATCAAGGCAGATTTTTTTTGTCTCCTAACAGTATAATATTCACAAAGGTTGAATTTCTTTCATATCCCTTATAATGATCTGAATGTATTATAAATGGTCCCCACATTTTAATTTTTCCTTTAAGTGTGAAGTTGGTCATCTTATAAAAAGATTCATATGAGACTGGGCAGGCTGGTGGCTCACACCTGTAATCCTAGCACTCTGGGAAGCCAAGGCGGGAGGATCACTTGAGGCCAGGAGTTCGAGACCAGCCTGAGCAAGAGTGAGACTCCACCTCTACTAAAAATAGAAAAAATTAGCCAGGCATAGTGGCATGCGCCTGTAGTCCAAGGTCCTCAGGAGGCTGAGGCAGGAGGATTGCTTGAGCCCAGGAGTTTGAGGTTGCTGAGAGCTAGGCTGATGCCACAGCACTCTAGCCTGGGCAACAGAGTGAGACTCTTGTCTCAAAAAAAAAACAAAAAACAAGAAAAAGAAAAAAACAAAAAAAAGAAAAAGAAACAAAACAAAACAAAAAAACAGCATTAAAACTACTAAAATATACTGAACATTGTGAGCAAGAGTTAAATGTACACTTGATAAGAGCAAAGAATTCATCCTTTACCAGTGAATGGTAAATGGATCCTGCAAGGCAGGACAAAGTTTCAGTACTTTCTCTCTCTCTCTAGAGATGCTCCTTGCTTTGCAATGGGGTTACATCCAGATAGACCCATCATAAATTGAAAATATCATAAGTCAAAAATGTGTGGCTGATTGGGGGCTAATTCGGCCCTGTGGCTCACTGACGCTGTCCAGGGATGCAAGAGAAGTATGATTTCTACTGAATGCCTATTGATTTTGCACCATCATAAAGTAAAAAAATTGTAAAGTTGAACAATCGCAAGTTGGGGACTCTGCGTGTGTGTGTGTATAGTTTTAGTCATTTTTCTTGGTCCCTTGGTATTTCCTTCTGAATACAACCACAACCAGAGAATGGAGGCAAAGCTTTAGCACAGGGGTTTAAATTCTGCTGACATCAAGTATCTTTTCTCTTACAGAGAGTCCACCTTTGTGAAGTAACAAAGTAAGAATTATCAGAACATGAGGTTCTGGCCTAATCCACTGAGGGTCCTTGGCCCAAATCTGGCTTGCAGACAAGTTTGATTCACATAGGGCTTAAATTTTTTTTAATTTAGTAACATATTTAAAAATCAGAGGAATGTCTATACAAATCTGGTTTTCCAGAGTCTTTTGAAAAAATAAAAGAGATGGTAATGACTGTCTAGAGCTGGCCAGGAGTGGCATTCACTCTTCAGCCCTTCCTGGCTCTCACTCATTTAAAAAATTTTCTAGGCCAGGTGCGGTGGCTCACGCCTGTAATCTCAGCACTTTGGGAGGCCAAGGCAGGAGGATTGCTTGAGGCCAGGATTCAAGACCAGCTTGGGAAATATAGTGAGACCTCCATCTCTATGCAAAATAATAATAAAAAAAAAATTCACTGGGCTTGGTGGCATGTGTCTGTACTCCTACCTACTTGAGAGGTTAAAGTAGGAGGATCTCTTGGGCCCACGTGTGGGAGGCTGCAGTGAGCTATTATCATGTCGCTGCATCCCAGCCTGGGCGACAGTGAGACCCTATCTCCAAAATAATAAGAATTTCCTTTCTGGCTTCTGTAGGCAATTGAGTTTGCAAATCCTGCTTTAGAAGACCTAATGAAGAAAAAGCACAGCCTTGGCTGGGCTGTGGAGCTGTAGTGGTCCAGCCCTGAGCCAGCTCCAGATGTGAGCTGGGCCCCTCACCTGAAAAGTCAGTAACAGCAGAGTCCGCCAGCCGCCCATAACGTGCCATGAGTTTGAGCTTGGTCTCCTGTTTCCTGTGTTTCTTGCCCACATAATGCTGTTGAGCCATGACAGGGTCGTTGAAAGTCGCATGGCAGAGGCTGCAGAACTTGTCTGGGTCTATCATTTCTCTATTCTGGTGCAAGGCTAAGGTGGAGGCCACAAGGAAAGGATTTGTAAGGCGTTTCGACAGAGCTGCGGTGAGAGAGTTCAAACAGAAACAATGAAAAAACCCAGAAGGTGCCAGGCTTTCAAGTATGCTGAATAGAAAGAAAGGCTGTGTCACTAGTTAATCACACTTGCAGATGTGGAACTGCCTGTGTGAATCACACAGTGAACACCTTCTCTAATTGGGAAAACTGGGAAGATTTGGGGGAGCCCAAAGACCAGCTATTTTGTTTAGCAGCTTTCACTACTTTAAGCACATAAATCCTGATTTTCTCACATTCTGAGGAGGCTCTAAACTTCTGCTATCAAGTTGCCAAATTACAACAGACTAGAGATGTATATTTGCAGTCTTTTCATCCCTCAGAATCCACTGGAACTGTATAGCTAGTGGGACAAAAAGTTTGGGAGTTTTATTCCCATCCTCAAAGTATCCCAGTTACAGAGCTGGGAACCAATGCACAGATGTAAAAATTGAGGTCCTCAGGTCCTGGAACTCATGCAGAGTCATTTAGAAAGGGCAATCACACTAGGGATGCCTTTCAGGCTACACTGCATTCTAGGCTGAGTGGAGATAGAAGAGGATGATATTAACATTTAGTTATGCGTTTTGTACACAAAATTTCTCCCTTGGTTCTCAGAACTACCCTAATAAGGTAGGTATCATTTTGCCACATTATAGAGAAAGACTCAGGTTCAGACAAGTGAAGTGACTTGCCCAGGATCATCCATCTAGTGAGTGAACCTGGGTCTGTGGGATCCAAAAGCCCATGCCCTCTTTGCTGTGACAGGCTGCCGGAGTGTGGCAAGAATACCTGAAGGTATTCATGCTTTTACCTACAGATAACATCCCTGACTCCGGTCAATTAATTCAGCTAATCAGAGCCTGGTGTGGGCATACGTGTGTCTCCTGTGTGTCAACGTATGTCCTGATGTTGACTGTATATTGTAACGCTGCTTCATAAAGTGGATGCTATGACTCACTAACCAGTCCATGCAGCTGGAATGGTGTCAACCTAGCAACTGTTGCTTTAAAAATGTGGGGCCAGACCCCTACCAGCAGTGGAGGAGGGGTGGAGCTCAGCAGCTTTCTCAGATAGATGAGATGGCTCAGATGCTCTTTTATCTCTATACCACTTCAAATGGGGCAGTTTTGAGGATTTTTAGCAAGTCATAAGAAATTTGCTGGCTTTTCCCACGAGTTTTCCAGTATAGGAAATCTCAGTTTCTCTGGCCATTGATTTTGTTTTGGCAAGTCACTCCAAAAGTAATGTACATGTTGTAGAATATTTTATATGAGAAAATATTCAGTTTGTGGTGTTGTGTGAAACAAAAAAGCAGGTTATATAGCAATCTGTTTCTTATGTCCTCAACAACAACAAAAACACATAGGTGATTGCATGGAAAAAAGATCAAATGCATAAAGAGTGCTTTCCACTATTTTCCAGCTTTTCCACAATGAATGTATATTTTTGACATCAGAAAAGAGGTAATAATGGTCATTAAGAGACAAAGGTCATTCTTTAAAAGATACTGAAGAGAAGCATCAGAGGTAAATGGTTAAGCAAAGCTGGAGGAACTGCTTAATGGACGTCCAGTAAAATGAGAGCTGTAGAGTCTTCTCTCAGGAAATAAGCTGAAATGTGGAAAAAGTGGATGTTCACTGTAGTGTTATTTATAACACCAAAAAAAGGGAGGGGGGAAAACTTAAATGTTCAACATTAGAGGTATGATTAAATGTGGTATGATGTAGTCACTAAAAATGTTTATGAAAAGTTTTTAGTAACATAGGGAAATATAAACATCATATTAAATGAAAAAAGGTAAAAGGAGTCACATCTAACATGATCATATTGTTAAAAGACACATGTGTAATCTATACATGTATACCAGTATTTTGAAATGTCACCAACATATTAACAGTGTTTCTCTCCTGGTGGTAGGATTTGGGTACCTTTAGCATTATTTGAACTGGAATTATTCATAATGGGTATAGATTGTTTTTATAAAAACAATATGGTTATTTAAAGTATTCTATTTACATGTACATATACATGGAGTTAATCTAGATAAATATAAAACAAATATACACAGAAATATACACACATACACATAACAAAAGATTATAGGAGAAACAGTACTCCAAAATGTTAACAGTGGTTAAATTGGTAAATAGTAAAATTATGGGTAATTTTCTTTTCCATTTATCTATATTTCCATATTTTCTACAATATGCTTGTATTACTTTTACATTAGAAAAATGTTTAATTTCAGAAATGTAGTTATAAAGTCATGTAATAACATGGAAACGTGCTTAACTACAAAATTAAATGAAAAGTAAAAGCAGGATACAAATGGCACATGCACTGTGATTACAACTACACAAAAACATACCTGCATGTGGCAAAGGCCAAAAGTGAACATGGAAAATAATCTCTTGAGCAATTTTTTGAAGCGGGCATATTACAGAGGATTTTCACATTTGTGCAAAGATAAGTCTGTGACCTTATAAAGTTCAGTTCTCAAGTCTCCCTTGGCCGGATGCTTAAAACTTTTTGGTACCATAATTGCTACCAACACCGAATTTAAACAAAAGCAATTAGTCCTGGTATAAGTTAATGATGAATCAACCATAAGCAAGGCCAATGACATGATCCAGGTAGTGGATACCTGACCAACTACTGTATTTTATGGGGGAATTCTACTCATGAGCTATCTTACTGGTGACAGCAACAATAATAGCAGCTGTCATTTACTGAGCATCTATTATGTCCTAGTTGTTTTTTTTTTTTTTTATGAGCCATGCATGAGACTTAATGTCCTGGGTTTTGAATATATATTATTTTATCCTCACAACCTATGAAGCAGATAGTATTATTAACATTTTATAGGTGAGGAGACTCAGACACAAAGAAGTCATACAAATGATAAATAGTGGTGCCAGGATTTAAACCTGGGCCTCAGTGACTTCAAAGTCCCATATTCCGTTGTTTAATATCATGAATAACTAGATTTTGGTGAGATAAAAGGGTATAATTATGAGTGATTTTTCATCCTATCTTCAAAGCCTTCCAAAATGTCAGTGAAACAAAAAGGGCAATAGTATTATTAATAGTGCAGTCTACTTCGTAGTCCAAAATAGAGAAGCAAAAATTACCAAGAAAAAAAAGAAATAAAGATCAAAGAACTTTTACTCTTAACTAATTGCAGTTAGCAGAGGTTAAAACTCCAGAAAGTCAGGAGTTAATGAGATGAAAGTGAGAGCTAAGCCCCAGTGGTGACAAGATAAAGGGAGCTATTTTAGCAGTCACTGCACTGGGAATGAATTCATGGCAGCTACAAACGGCTTGCTGGGCAGCAGTAGCAGCAGTGAAGTATTCAGCTTTGAAAGGCAAGTCCCTGTCTTGAGGAGAACAGGCATTATTTGAGGATTAAAGTGAGCAGGGCATAACCTGAGCAAGCAAAAAAGACAAGGATTTAGCTTTCAACTTGGAACACATAGTAATAAGGGCAGGTGGATGCTGGGATGGAAAAGTCCAAGTAGGAGAGGTAGGAGATGGAATGTTTTCATGGTACGCGTGATCTGGAGGACTTTGATACTCTTGAGCTACAATTATTAGTCAGGAAAAAAGCTCAGCCTAAGAAGCTTCTATAGAGAAAAACTGATGTAACCAAAGAAAGGGAGGTGGTGTGAGCACAACTCCGAGGCTGCGTTTCAAGGAAGTTTGGTCTACTTCAATATTTTTATGGGTTCTCAAAAACAATTCAACCTCTCCAAGTCTGTGGCCCTAGTTAGCATTTCTGGGAGCACCTGGCAATGGTGCCCTAAGGACAGGAGGGGTCCCAATATAGCACTACTCAGGAAAACCAGTACCTTCCACCTTAGTGGATTGCTGCTTCAGCTTTAAGTTCTTTGCGTGGGTCTTCCCCAGGTAATGCGACTGGGCCACAACAGGGGAGGAAAAGGTCATGTTACAGATGGGGCAGCACTGGTTCTTGTCTTTGCTTCTGCTGCTCTTCTGGTTGGGAGAAAGAACACAGGTCTGATCATGCCACTGCCCAGCCAGAAAATCTTCAATGGTTCCCCACTGCCCACAGGAGAATGGGCATTTATGGCCCCCTTCACACATTAACCAAAACCTACTTTCTGGATTCTACTCCAGCTACTTTGTCCCAGGCTATACTCATCATCCCCCACTAGTCTGTGTTGCTTCCTTGCTTTGCTTGGGCCATTCCTGCTATTTTGAATGTTCTTCCTTCTTTTCCTGCTTGGCATTATTATGTCTGCTTAGCCTTCAAAGCCCAGTTTAAATATCAGCTTTTCTTCTGGGATAATTTTACCCAGAAAATCATTCAGCAAACAATAATCACACCCCTTTGTGTATGTATTCCAGCAAGAATTAATCTTGCTCCTCCTTTTACTCCTAGAGAACCTTAAATAGATCTCTATCATACCACTTGCCACTAAATTGACAGTGTCGTAGCTTGGGAGACTTTTCTGTGAACTCAACTGCAACATTTGGGTGTGGACTATTCGACTCATCTTTGTTTCCTATCCCTTGCACCCTGTTGGAGTCTGGCACACAGTCAATGCTCAGGGTTTGTTGAACAAGCAGATCATTGAGTTTTATTTTTGATTATGATTAGGCTAGAAAACAATGTATTTCAAGCCTGTGTTAAGGGGCTCCCAACATCTCTCTGAGAAAGTCTTATCTCTGAATGGGGTGTTCATTCAGCATTTGTCAACCTTGGCACTATTGACATTTTGGGCTCGATAATTCTTTGCTGGTAGTGGTGGTGCAGGTGACGCGGTCAGGCAGCGGGTAGCTGCTTCAATCTCATTTGAACTACTGAGTCATCCGTCCTGAGAGCTGAAGAATCAAGGTGTAAAGATATAAAATGACTTGCCTAGGGTCACACAGCTGATCTTGTCTTCCTGAGTTCAAATGAGTCCAGTGAATTTCAAGAAGGGACAAGCAAAGCCCTTCCAAACTTATGGCCACTATAATAAGAGGCAGCCGTTTATAGAGTAAGCTTTTATTTATATAAGCATGTACTAGGAATTGGAATTTTACTTCACAATACCCTGCAGAGGTAGGAATCAACTCTACTTTATGGGTGAAGTTCACAGAGATTAAATGACTTGACCAACATCGCCCGACCAGTAAGTTGCAGAGCCAATCCTGGGCCCTAGTCTGTTGACTTCTCATCCCATGATGTTTGCATAGCCTCCCACTGGACAAAAATAATGGTACTCTTGAAGGATTGGGGTTGTTTCAGCATAATTCTCACAGTATTTATGAGCCAAAAAGCAAATGTGATTACCTCTCAATTAGAGTAGGCATTTGGAAAGGGTTCCTTCTACTTGTTTATTCAAAACATTCAAGTGCTGAACTTAGTTCTTTTCCCTGGCTCTCAAGGAAGCAAGGAGCCTGGCTTTGTTCTACTTTCTCTCCTTGAGTAGTCAATGGGCAAAGCTTCTTGTCCTGCTCCAACAAACCACTGGGTGGTAACGCATAACAACGGCTCTACTACTGAGTCCTTGCTATGTGCCAGGCTCTCTCTTGGGTGCTTTTTATGAATCTTCCCTCATTTTAGTGAAGAAAAATCCGGAAAGATAGTTGACATTAGCATCCTCATTTCTATAAAGGAAGAAATCAAGGCTCAGAGAAGTAACAGGACTTGCCCAAGTCACACAACATGGCTGGGATCTGAAGCCAAGTCAGTCTGACTCAAAGCCCACGCTCTTGCACCGCACCAACCTGCTAGGGCTTCATCAGGAAGTGAGCGTCTCAACATGGCAGCTGCATTACCTGATCTGAGTCTAGCTTCTTCGTTTCCCCCTTTAATGTCTCCATTCCATGGATTGCTAGGTATCTCTTCACTTTGTTGGCATGTTTTTTGCTCTGCAAAAACCCAGGAAAAAGATCAAAGATAGCCAAATGCCATTTCATATCTAAGGCACTCAAAAACACTTACTAGATTTTCATCTGATTCATCCTCACAAGGACTTTTGAGGAGGAGAGGGTTGGGGAAGAAACTTAGTTTATTGAGTTTCTACTCTGCGCAAGGCACTTCACAGCTATCAAATTTCATCTTCACAATAATCTATGAGAAAAGTATCATCATCTCTATCTTACAGATAAGGAAACTGAGGCTGAAAATGATAGAAGTTTCTTGTCCAAAATGAGTAGCAGAGTTGTGACTCAAAATCACATCTGTTTAAAGCCAAAGCTCACACTTTCTACTATGCCAAGCTGCAAGGAAAGATATACACATAATGATCCTGGTTTAGATGGGAGAGATAAGAATCAGAGAAATTAAATCAATCTTCAAGTCACAAGACAACATGCATGGAGGCAACATCTGGGTGGCTAAAAGGGAATTACAGTTCACCATGCAAGCCAGGGAGAAGTGGGGGCTTGGCACTGGGTCTGAAAAGTATAGCAGTTCTAAAAGTACGATGACATACCTGGTAATGTGCCAGCTTCTGGGACTCAGAAATGAGCAAGGCGCAGCAAACCTTACACTGGGTGTTGGTGAAGAGACACTGGTTCTTCTGGATCATGTGCTCCACTACAGAAGGAAAAATAAAAAATCTTTAAGTTGCTAAAAACACTACCTCAACAGCACTGTCTTTGAACCCTGTCTCAAACACAGGCACTGAGTAATGGGATGCCATACTAGTACATAGGCAGACCTCAGCCACCCTCCCCTACTGCCGCCATGACTCATGCTATGTTCTCATAGCACCTGCACTATTACTTACTTTACAATTTCAAGTTACTGAGTAACTTCTTTTAAAAAGGAGTCTTTAGATCATAGACTTAAATAGATACCAATAAAAATAAACATAATAAAAATGAAAAAATTCTAGCCAGCTATGGGTACCAGAGAAGAAAAGAGCAGCAACTGTGCAGAGAGGTTTAAAGATACGGGATATGGTAGTACCCAACTGAGACTTCTTCCCAGATAGAACCAAGAGCAGTGGAAAGACTTAAAAATGGAATAATTTTCTTACTACTTTTGAACTGACTTTGAAATATCTAAAATTACATAACATATTACAAGTCGCACACTGTAGGAAACATGGTATTAACCTGTGCTTAACTGTGGGCCTGGAGAACAAAGCTTTACCGCTTTTTTTTTTTTTGAGACAGTCTTGCTCTGTTGCCCAGGCTAGCTGAGTGCCGTGCCATCAGCCTAGCTCACAGCAACCTCCAACTCCTGGGCTCAAGCAATCCTTTTGCCTCAGCCTCCCGAGTAGCTGGGACTGCAGGCATGTGCCACCATGCCCGGCTAATTTCTTCTATATATTTTTAGTTGTCCAGCTAATTTCTTTCTATTTTTAGTAGAGACGGGGTCTCACTCTTGCTCAGGCTGGTCCTGAACTCCTGA